CCTAACTCCAATATGAACTCATTAGCACAGCTTGAATAGAACTGGCATGTTATTTTAGGTATTTTTTTCAGGTGTGTAGGGCATATAAAAGTAGCAGTACACCAGCCCTCGAGGAAATAAAATGTATTGCTTTCTGATTAGACAAAATCTGTCTTTCAAATATATCTTACTATCATTATTACTTTTTATATTTCTCTTTAATTTTGCATTGTGCGTTTGTCTCAGCACATTCCAACTGCTCTAAATTAGTTTAAAAGCAAATTTGACCTCATTCTAAATTCTTCAAGATAAACTTTGGTTCTCAAACATAATATTCATGCTGATCTGTGATATAATTGCCTAATTTTATTGGTAATGGTTTGGTAATGGTCCTTCTGTGTGCACATAGTAGATATTTACAGTAGATTAGTTTCACTGGCTTAGTGAAGAGTCTATAAATGAAATATGATTGATCTGGATTTGACCTTTTCTTTTCATAACTTTTAGAAAGTTGCCACATACAGCCAGTTGGCATTGTATTCGCTGAACAGCACCTGGCAGCTCAAACATTATTTGTGATATTGATATTGGTATAAAAAGTGATATTGTTTGATAGGATAAAACAGTTACTGAAGCACATTTCACCTTGTTCAGGATCAATCCTCCAGTTGTTCTTAACGTCTCCAATAAGCGTAAACCAAAAAGGCCCACCATATGGTCCATCATCTGGGTCCACAGCTGAGACATTGACCCATGAGGGTTTATCACTTTGGCACATTTCGAAGGTGTTAACAATCAGCGATGGAGGATTGTCATTCTCATCCATGATGTAGATGCTGAGAGTGCCTGTGCCTGTCAGCGGAGGATTCCCTTGTGCACACACAATGGAAATGTTAGTAATTACAATGATATGTATTTTAAGATAAGGTATTTATTTAATCTCTTCGAACATACCATTGTCAACAGCATTTATTGTGATGACATAAAGTCCATCATCAACAAAATTAGACTCTCTGTCTAAAAGTGTTGATGTGTTAATTTGTCCTGTCTCAGGGTCCACAGTAAACAAATTAGCTAGATCCTCTCCTTTTATGTATCTGAAATACACATCCCAAAACATACATTCAACATTTTATACAGAAAATCTGAACATATCAAAGCAGAGTCCAGTTTAAAAGAGGGATTTATGTGTGATCATAATTTATAGTTTTGGATAAATATTTCTACATTGAAAATAAAATATCTTTTTGCACCCATAGATGCAAATTTCTGTCTGTCAAAAAGGAAAATTACAAATATTACAAATTCTTGACACAAGCCACACATATTTATATACGTTTCTACATTTTTGTTACAATCAGTTTACAGATATAAAGTTAAAAATAATCTATATTAAACTCTACTGAGCATGCAAACACAAAAGTTGATCAGATATTTCCTCCGCTCAGGTGATTGTTGCCATTGCGTGGGGCTTATTTTATTGTTATGTTTTAATTATGTTATTTATTTCTATTTCTTTTTCGTTTTTTGCTTTTTAGTATTTGCTTTTGCTTTTACTTTTCCGTCGTGCTTGTTACGGTATTGTATTGGCGGTTTTGTTTTCTTTTTTTTTTTTTACTTTTACCTGACCGGTTTCTTTAATGACTAATTTTTACTTTTACTAGAGTTAAAATATTAAAGAAGAGCTACATTTACCTGAATCAAATGTTTGGGTGCTCTATGCACTCCTTCAGACATATAAAGATTACACTGACTGACTGGTATTTGGCATTAATTAACTAATCTACCTCAATAAAATCTTGATATAATCTGTAAAAATTTAATTCTCAAGATGTTCCTATTTCCACCATGTATTGCTTTTTTCTCAGTTTTTTGGTTTTATTTTTTTGTGTGAAACTTATGTTTCAATCATTCAGATCTGGTTTCACAAGTCTGTGACAAATCCTGCCACAAGGTGTAGAGAGATTACAATTAGATATGGATGTACCCTTTGGAAGAAAAATTTATTTGTTTTGCAAACATTCATGTAATGTGAAAATAATTTCCTTGTTTTAATTATCATAAGCATGAACTTTTAATCGCGTTGTTAACCCATTGGTTAAAATGTGAAGGCTAATCTCTCTAAATTATTATAGTATCACTGATTCAACATGTCTGAGAATACATTTAAGTTAAAATGTGTGTTTTATGGGAATTTTAGAGATAAGATACTTATTTTAAAAATCCTTTATACACTTTCGGGGCTCTGTGCAGCCCAACAAGTTCTTCCACTAAAGCTGCTCATCATTGGTGTAGGTGCAAAGGGAAATGTTGCAAAGCGGATAGTCATTAAAATCTTTCCATAAGGTTACATCAAAACTTTTTTTTTTTTTAACTAGGTTATGTACACTTTTGACTATTAAAAACATCATCATGACATACCTTATTTGGTTTGCACCGGTGACATCAGGGTCTCTAGCTGGAAATGTTCCCAAACAATAGCCCACCTCCGCATTTTCAGGTACAGAAACAGACTTTGTAAAGTCAAAGACTGGAGGCTCATTGATGTCTTCTATGACCACTGTTAATGGTAAATTCCCCGCTTCACCAGAAACCTCTGTATTACTTGCTCCAGAAAAAAAACTAGGATCTGTTTCTATTTTCCAAAAACCAGGGGTGTTACGATCTATAACTTTGCATGTGAAATAGGGAATTTCATTCTTCACAGAGATTATGATGTCCTTCAAGGATTCCTTCTCAAAGTCGAGTTGCTGTTAGGGCAATAAAAATTCTAATCAGAATCAGAAATACTTTAATAATCCCAGAGGGAAATTACTTTTGTTACATGCTCCAGTTACAGTTTTATATATACATATATATA